AACGTCTTTTTTTGACGTTTTATTTATAGAAAAGAGGGATTTTTTGCTCCAAGTTGTGGTAGTCAGATATATCACATACTTAAGTATTAACTGACCGGCATCAGATGACGTGCGTCTCCACTCCAACGTTTTTTATGTCCCTCTGTCGTCTGTTGTTTCTCTGATGTAACCGCCCATAGGTGTTTCGCTTTCGCAACGTATTCCGCTGAGTCACAAAGACGGGACATTTTTCTCAAATCCGTACTGCGAAATCCGACAAGGTGTTGTTTGTGTCCGCTCATCTTCAGAAAACTGCGCTCGAACGCCTTCTGATCGTTCCGCAGAGCTTTCGACGTGGCTACAGTGTCAGCCCAAGTTTTAGCTGTGTAACAGAGCACCGGGAGAACAGTTGTGTCGAACAGGTGGGCACGAAGCTCCGGGTCCATCATTCGGTCGGTGACTTTTCTCAAAGGCCCAGGAGCACATAGGCGGCTCTTTTTCTCCTTTGAGTTTTCATATGAAACGTCTCCATGATAGAAATGTCTTTCAATTCAATTTCCGCATCTCAAAGAGCGTTCTTCACATAGTGAGCCTTCTTCCGAATTATTCGCAATCGGATCTTCTCACTTCGTTTTCAGCATCGTCTCCGCATCAGTGATACTGGTCGAAAAGAAAGTCGTTCGCAAAACAAAGGTTCAATAAGAATTTCTCATCAATTCGTAAGCTCCTCTGGTCCCAGCTCACTAGCTTCATCACCCACTGCAGGGCCGCGTTGAACAGCACCGGAGAGATTGTGTTGCATTGTCGGACCCCCTCACCAATTAGAATGGTGAAGGAGCGATGGAATGGCTGCATCAGTCGTTGACACTTTTTTAAGCAGTCTGCTAATGTCCTCACTTAGCTGGCCACTCCACTGATTAGCGTTGACAGGTTGGCATCGGTTTTGTCGGTGTCAAAGGCTTTCTCAATGTCGACGAAGGTCAGGACAAAAGGCAGTCGGTATTCCCGTCAGACTTTCATAACCCTCGAAACCATCTGGATGTCCATGCAACTGAATCCCTTGCGGAATCTAGCTTGTTCTTGATTTTGAGCATCATCCATATCCTATACATGCGAGCGAAGATAACCTTAGCGATTGTGCAGCACACTCAGCTAACATATTGACGGTGACTCCAAGGACTGTGACTGTGACTGACAGTGACTCGGCACAAGTGTTGATGAGCAGAAGAGATTGGTGTAAAAGTTTTTCGCAT